TTTTTCAAAATCATAGCAGTCAAAGCATACTTACCTCATTCATTTTTTCAAAATCATAGCAGTCAAACGCGTTATTACCTGATTCATTGTACAAAATCCTATCCATCAACCGTTCCTAAATTCCTTTTATGCTTCTCTGTTTTTAAATGTCTTGAATAACATTGTGCCTTTATTGATGAACTACATTACATTACAAAAGGCAACTTTATCACGATAGTTTTGTATTTGTTCCTCTTTCTTTTTTCTATATTCTTCATGTTCTTTATATTTAGTTCTTCGTGTTTCCTTCACTTTATTTTTATGTTTGTCATAGTTCTTTCTCTTGTATTCCAAGCATGTCTTACAAGTCTTCAATTGGTAAATCTTTAACACAGTATCTACAAATTTTATCCAATACATATAAATATGATTATCTGCTTAAATGTCTTTCCAAGAATTCCTATAACAACAAAAAAACAAAACAATCCAAGCAAAGAACAATATATATATATAAGACAAAACGGCAGACAACAATAAAGATACACCCTGAACTGTTAAAATGTTTCCGTACAATATTTGCTCTGGTGTAGTCTTTGTCAGTTATGTTTTCTTCATATAATTTGCTGCAAACATTTTCTTTCTTTGGTAGTTTTGTTTCATCGAATTTCTCCCATGAGTTCATGTAGTCATAGGGATATACACCCCTATCAGTCAGAAAATTCCAATCAGTTTTAGATTTGATATATGGGTTGGTGCTTGTATATCTGAAACGAGTGTCCATTTTTTAATCTTTTGATTTCCTTCATATTTGTTTAACCTAACTAACTTATCCAATGACGCAGTTAAGAAAGCGAAGCTGTCTTTAAACGGACAGGCACCAAATGAAAAGGTTATGAACTTTTCACTGTTTGTGCTATTACATCTATTCTTTTGTTTTGGTTTAGTTCTATGTTTAGTTCATTTGCTTTTGCTATGATTAAGTGAGCGTCATAATTTTTGGATTATGAAAGAAAATAGGGATGTAAAAATGCCCAAATGAATAATCCAAATTACATTTTACATTCGCTGCGCCCCTGTATTTGCCTGTGAAGTGGCAGTGGTCGCGAACCTTTTCATCGTCAGGTTCAAGTTTCTTACCGCAAATGGAGCAATGAGACGATAATTTTTGTTCGTTCATTACTTCATCCATCGGTTTATTAAAATTTTGATTTTTTTCAAATATATCTTTCTAAATTTCAGTCAGTTTTTCTACAAACTGTTTCATGCAGTCCTCACCTCTGTATAAATACGGTTGGCATGCATTCTCAATCCTGCTTACTACATTTAGCATATAACCACATGGTTTATGTTCCTGATATGTGCCTTTTATACCATTTTTAGAGTTAGTCGTTAGACATTCAAAATCACCATAGATTACAAAAGGACAAGGCAATTTAGTATTATGCTTTTCAAATTCTACATAAGTGTCTTTATCAGGCATCTTTGTTTGTTGTCCTTCTGATGCCATACATCACATCCGTTTTCAAGATGTTTCTTATATACCTTTTCTGATTGAACGGGATTTAAACAATGGTGGCAGTAAAACTTTTATTTGTGTTGCTACTGATTTGACAGTTTAATCTACATTTATTTTAACTAACACATAGTGATAATTGTTATCTTCATCATCGAGTTTTAGTATATCAATTTCGTACTTAGCATTTCTATTTTTAGTGCCTCTATGACTCTATGCAATATAATCTTATTATCATTTAAGCAGTCATCGGGTTCAAACACATTTATTGAAACTGATTTATTGTTCTCTTCAAATGTCCCTATTGCCAGTTGGAAAATGTACACCATCCCAGTTCAAAATATCATCTTTCAGTTTATTATAGTGGCACATTTCCTCTGGGTGATGTTTGCTTATTTTGTCATAGACTTTGGATTGAATACAATATTTGAAGCATTTTTGGTCATTATTTTTAATGTTGATACATGCCTTTTTTAGTTTAATCCATTCTGGTAATTCTATGCATCTCCCTGCTCTTTTTGGGTCATATTTGTCATAGTGAATAGGTATCGATACAATCCATTTAAATCTTAGATTAGATGTTGAATCTTCTAAAGTGTGTATTTGTAGTCGGATTTGAATAACACTATCTTCTAATGCTTGTGTCAGTTCAACCTCATTACTAATATTGAAGCGGGTTGATGGTAGGGCATGTACAAGTTCCTGACTTCCTAATTCATTTCCTCCATCATCATATTCAGGTTTTTCAACTAACCCTTCCGTTCTTATGTTAAGTTTCATGCTTCTATTATTTTCTCAATAAAATCTGATAGTCTTTGTTTTTGGTGCGCAATCATTTCTAGTCTCCTTTCTCCTTGAAAGTGTTTATTTTCTAAAACTATTGAATTAGCGTATCTTCTAAATGCTGATTGAATATCTCTGACCCTAAAGTTATTTCTTATGGCGTGTTTGGCTATTGATTGCCTAACCCTTTCTCTATTTACAACATCCGTTGCCTTTTTCATAGCATAACTTCTGTACTCATTAGTTTTCTTTACTGGCAATAATTTCTTTGTCTAAACATTTGATATGGCTTTGTCTTTGTATCTGATTTTCTTATCATCTATTATTATTGACTTTAATTCTTTTCTTCCTTTTTTTGGGTATGTCTGCTTTATTAGTATTCAATAGATAGTCTATAATCTTTTTCATCCTATAATAGTATATATTTTTTTGTTAATTTATCTTTAAGTAGATTTTAAAGGACTCTATTAATGTACTCTTTGAATATATACTTAAAGAATAGTTTTTTTAAAGTATATTAGTAGGATGGATTTTATGAAGGATTTACCTGTTGATGTGTTGAGTACAAGTGTTTCTTATAAACTTGGAGAACCTGAATATGTGAAAATTAAGCATAGTGAAGCATTGAAGAGAATACAAAACAAATATAACATATCAAGACTTGGTCCGAAAATAGACAGAAAGATAAGACAAAGAAACACAAAGTATATATAGTTGAGTATTGTATTATGAGAGAGGGAGTGCAGGGAGTGCCATTTAGTTTAAAAGGTATAGGAGACATCATAACAGAAGAAAAAGAAGAATCACTATCTTTGATTTATGAAGAAGTAGAAGAAGATAATTTAAATTTTAGAGTTAAACTTGATATTGAAGTCCAAACAGTAGCAAGACTCCCAGAGAAAGAATGGAGACAATGAATTTAGTTATAGAGAAGTTTACTTCATGAATGACTTTGATGAATATGTAGATGAAGATAATATAGGCGATGTATTGAATAAAGCAGATGAAGAAATAAATTCCAACATAGAAGAAGACAAAGATAAAGATAGTATAATAGGAATACAAGCATTTCATGTTAGATTAATAACTATTGAAGATATTTACTACCAGCATATTTCCAATAATGTTTATTTATTTATTATAATTATGGATTTGTAAGATCGGATTATCAAAGGTTAAGGTTTTATCTTTATTGTTGTCTGCCGTTTTGTCTTATATATTGTGTTTTGCTTGGTTTGTTTTTGTTTTTTGTTGTTATAGGAATAGTTGGAAAAGACATTTAAGAAGATAATCATATTTATATGTACTGGATAAATTTTGTAGATACTGTGTTAAAGATTTACCAATTGATAATTTTAAAGATGGATTGAAGACTTGTCAGACATGCTTGGAATACAAGAGAACGAACTATGACAAACATAAAGATAAAGTAAATGAAGCACGAAGAACTAAATGTAAAGAAGATGTAGAATATAGAAAATAAAGAGGAACAAATACAAAGCTATCGTGATAAAGTTGCCTTTGTAATGTATGTAATTCATCAATGAAGGCACCATGTTATTCAAAACATTTAAAGACAGAGAAGCATAAAAGGAATTTAGGAACAGTTGATGGATAGGATATTGAAAAATTGAATGAGGCAATTGTGTTTTGACTGCTATGATTTTGAAAAATGAATGAGGTAAGTATGCTTTGACTGCTATGATTTTGAAAAATTGAATGAGGTATATGTGTTTTGACTGCTATGATTTTGAAAAATGAATGAGGTAAGTATGAATTGACTGCTATGATTTTGAAAAATTGAATGAGGTATGTGTGTTTTGACTGCTATGATTTTGAAAAATGAATGAGGTAAGTATGCTTTGACTGCTATGATTTTGAAAAATTGAATGAGGTAATTATGTTTTGATATTGTTAAGAAAAATGAAGCAATCAATAATATTTAAACTTATATTTTGGATGGTTATGTTGTTTTGGAATAAATTTTGATTTGTTATACTGCTATGATATTAGTTTAACAAACTTCACTCAATCTTTTTTTTACATTTTTTCGGGGACCCGTCACGACCCGTCCACGTGGTGGACGAAGCGCGGTCCGTTGGACGCAATCTCGGTGGTTGGGAGGCACGGCGAAGCGCATCACTGTGCTGCCGTGACGTGGGCGGGATGGGAGGAACAAGAGGAACCTCGAGTGGTTTGGTTGACGCATGGAACCTCAGTGGTTGGTGGACGTACCGCTACCCCTTTAAGAATCCAATCACATCCGATCACATCACGACAGAAGATTCTCGTTCTGGGTGAAGCCGACCTTCGAAAAGGGTCGTTCGGGGTGTGAATGGAGCTGACCTGGCTTGGTGTGATGAGGGCCTTGGTGAAGCAGTCTAAGCTTGGTTCGAGCTTCTTAATGAAGTCGAAGTCTTCATGGGGATTCGGAATAGCTAGCTGAATGCTCCTCAAGGCTGCCGTTTTCGGTAGGTCCACGGCTGAAACCCCCACTTTTGAACAGGATATTACGCAACAGGGTAAGGTTAATGTAACGTACGAACTCTCACTCTTCCCCTCACGGAAAAGGACTGGCTCTCCTGCCCTAAGTCGACCTCCAGGGAGCGAAACGCCCTGGACCGGGACCGCCGCTCTGCCTCCCGCGTCGGGTCGCACTGCGTCGATGGCGGTTTCCACGCGTTTTCCACGCGCTGGACGCGAGTCCCAGCGGCGCTCGGTCTGCTGTTCGATGGCTTCGACGGCTTCGCCAGGTGCCAGGTGAATGGCCGCTCGAAGGTCTGGTGCTTCGTCGAAGCCTCGCTGCACGAGCGCGACCGGCTGCTGCAGGCGGACGCGGTGACCGCCGCCGGTGAAGTGCGTGACCGGTGGGGGGTTCCCAACTGGGTGACTCACATCGGGTGAGCCTCTTAGGTGGCAAAGGGCGGGGTGGTGAAAAGAGCATCTTCAGAACCTCAAAAGGGGGGTGAGCTCTTCTTCAGAGCAGGGGTGGTGCATCAAAGCAAGTCCTCTTCAGAAACCTCGAGGGCTTGAAACTGGAGGTTTTTTGATTGGTGAAGGGGATACGTCCGGTTTGGGGGTCTGCGAGGGAGCTCACACAAAGGCGACAGAGACGTCACCCTTCTTGCGCCGCACAGCGGTCCTTCAGATGGGACAAGGGAGGGGCCATGGGCCATGATGGGCCCTGGTTCTGCGATGCTTGTGAGTCTTGGTTTGGGTTCACCTGCTGGAAACCACTGCATGTCCTGTTTTTCAGTTCTTTCATGGTGCCTCCCACCTGTCAGTTAGATAAATGAAATATTCTAATCTATTCTAAGATATTCTCACTTTGTAATGATAATAGTCAACTTGAACAAGTTATATAAATATGCATTTCTTTCAGCGCAAATTCCTTGGGTTTCACTTCCTTCAGTTCCTGGGCGCGCCCAGCCGGCGAGCCGCGCGGCTTACCAGCCCCCGGCGTACGCGAGACGCGCCGGTGATGGGGGTGGACCCGCTCCCATGACGTCGTCGAGCGCTGAGTCTGTTGAACGATGTTGAAAAAATCGGTGCCTGATGTTCATGGACAAGAGACCCAGGGGACCCAGAGCACTGACTTTTATGGTTTGAGCAGGATATGCCATTGACGGCTTGCCTCGTCCCATCAACCCTAGGACTCTAGGCAATTCCTGAGCTTTCCATGCAGACTGCAGCTTAGTACCTACTTGTGCATTGACTAGCTGTTTGGGGTCTCCATTTTGACGACCCTAGGATACAGACTGGGCTTCCACCATTGGACACCAGTCCAATTCACAAGTCCGGTACCCGTCAGCCACAACACCAAATGGGTGTGCATCAAAATAGACTCCCAGTTCGACCCCCTGGAAGGAGCAACATGGACTAAGACTAAAACCCATTGGTTGGGGATCTCCATTACAGTCATGACTCCCAACCTTTCGGAAGGTCGAGTCATTATGACAGGCAATTTCACCTACGGGTCCTATGGGTAGACCTGCATGCGAGGTGACCTGCATCAATACAGCGACATTTACTTGAATTACCTGACAGACTCTTGGCTGCAGTGGGGTCAAACTAATGCCAAATGTCGGATTAATAGCTCCCCAACTTCAAGGTCAACAAGGTTTGAGATTGGAGGTATTGGAGACCACATCCCCTTGATAAAGGTGATGTCCTGATGATGGATGATGGTTGATAGGATTCTGTATGAACACTGAGGCCTGTGTGAGGGGTACCCTTCATGAGCTTTAAACTTTAAACCGTTAAGATTTTGATAGAGTTTTAATAAGGGAAAGTGAAAGAATCTTGCTAGAGACGGATTTAGGGATTGTGGAACAACGATTCTTGGGGAGAACATTGATTGGTAGGGGGAGGTTTCTGCCAAGAAAACAATTATTAGGGTGATGGACATATGGCAATCCTGGCTTTAAAATTGTTTAGTATTGGTGGCTCAAGCTGGGCTTGATTAATAGGGGAGGTGACTTAATCCTAGGTGCGCATTAGGGGAAAGACATGGAAAGACCACAAGCTGCGGAGTTTTGTTTGCACGCAATCACGGCATTCCAAACTCTGTGTTGACATGGGGGGTTGTCTTGGAACATGTTCACCTTCATATGCATATCATTGCCATGTTCGCCTAGAATGACAACTCTTCTGAATGGACACATTGGGTTAGCAAGTACACGGAGAATGGATCAAGCAGGTCGACAACGAGTCTGGGTGGTTTGCTAGTCGCCCCCAAAAAGCACGAGAGTTACCTTCTGGGTTGTGATCAGGCGCTTGGAACGCCTCCAACATCCCCCCAGCACGCAAAATGGTGCCAATGCTACAATCGGTCAAAAGCTAAGAACGTCACAGGGAGTCATAATTTTGATTCATCAAAGGCATTCAAAGGCATCATATTTATATGAAGAGGTTCTGCCATCAAAATGGGGGTGTTCGCAAGCATGGATTTGGATGACATTTGACCTCTAGCAAGGGGGGGGGCCTCAGCAGCCCCCGGTTGCAGGTTGCATCGAGGACATCGAATGGCGAAGGTGGCGAGGCATGGGGGCGAACGAGGGTATGACAATGGATTGAGGTTGGTGGGAGGCAGAGGCCATGTGAGGTGTGGATGAGAACCAGGAGATGCCTTACCAGGTAGGGAGTCCATTCTGATTCTCATCTTGGTTGGGTTCAAGCATGCTTTTTTTTGGGGGGTGCCATTCTCTTTTTTTGGGAATGGTACATCACATCGTCGAAACAACTTCTTGTTTTATTTCAACACCTAATTATTTCTTGTGGGTTTTGATACTTCTGGCGTGGGTTTTGTGGCAGTCTTTTTTGGAGACCCAGCCATCAGGCGGTGGGCGTTGCTGACCCTGGTGGTGGCGCTCGCAGAGGCAGCACCGCGACTCCTGCTGCGACGAGAGGAGCGAGATGGGGGAAACGATGGGGGTCAGGAACAGGAAGACTCAGGAAGATGTATTCCAGAGACGAGTGGGACGAGGAAGGGTGTGAGTTGGTGATTTGGGTTTCTTCGTTTTTCCCCAATAGCCATGCTATGGGGTCTTGCAAAACTAATAGGCGGACGGGCGCCGTCGGGTCACCGTCAGAGCTGGTGGGCGGATGGTGTCCCGGTCATGTTTTGATGGCGTCCGGGTCATGTGATGCTGGTGTCCCGGTCATGTTTTGATGGTGTCCCGATCATGTTTTGATTGTGACCCAGTCATGTTGTGATGGTGTCCCGGTCCTGTTTTGATGGTGTCCCGGTCATGTTTTGATGGTGTCCCGGTCATGTTGTGATGGTGTCCCGGTCATGTTTTGAAGGTGTCCCGTGATGGTGTCCCGGTCATGTTGTGATGGTGTCCCGGGCATGTTTTAATGGTGTCCCGGTCGTGTTGTGACGGTGTCCCGGTCATGTTTTGATGGTGTCCCGGTCGTGTTGTGACGGTGTCCCGGTCATGTTTTGATGGTGTCCCGGTCATGTTGTGTGAAATGAAGCATGATGATCAGGAATGTTCCAGCTAGCTTGCAGTTGGCCTCTCAACCCAACCACCAGGTTCCGGTTCGCAAGGGCACGACACGACGCCCTTGGCTCAAGCCATGACGGAAAAGGCGTTCGCAGCCTTTTGCACGTTTGTTTTGAGTTGGGTGCACATCCATTTTCAGATTGGCACCGGAGCTGTGTTCTCCTTAGGGACCTTTCACATCGACAGATCTTTGGTTTGTTTGATTTGGGGGTACTCTCACGCTTTTGCGCCGGAGCTCATGTCGGCGCTTGAGTGCCTTAAGTGGCACCGGTTTTCCGAGGCATCGGAAGCCACCCTGGTCGCTGGCACCGAGGGCAAAGGTGTTCCACGCTATGATGGGAGCCCTTCGACCCTCCAAGAGTATGCCTTCCGGGTGCGACTACGAGCTGCACGGGATCAGGCCATGGATCCCAATGAACTGAAGAAGCACGGACCCTTGGGGCTACGCCTGATCGATGGGCTCACTGGAGCTGCATTGCAGGTTGTGCGGGAGGTCGAAGTCTCCAAGTTGGCTGAAAAGGATGGTCATGAGCTGTTGCTTCGCCACCTATATCAGGCCTTCAGACCCCGCCGACAACAGGAAGCACGAGAGCTCTATGCAGCTGGAGCTCAAACCCATGGAGTCCTTAGCCGACAGAGCGGTGAACCGATGACCTCGTTCCTCTTGCGTCGACGAACCTGGTACAAGATGCTCTGCGATTTAGATGACAAGTTGGCCCTGCCGGAAGCGATCTTGTCGGAACAGGTTTTGATGTCAAGTGGCATTTCAAGTGACCACCAGCTCCTGATCCGCACGGCATTGGCCGGGAAGATGACGGTGAACGATGTCTGCAATGAACTCATTGCTCAACATCCTAACATCCATGAAAAGGAGCTTCGACATCGACAAGATCGACATGATCACAGGTTCAGCCGCAGCGGAAAAGGAAAGTCCAAATCCTTTCACACCTGGTCACCACCGAGCTATCAGGATGTGGCTGCATTGGCTGAAGACCAATGGGAAGATGCTTCGCAGTCCCTTGGAGGCTATGAGGACTATGATGACCCTGCCTCCTACTACACAGGAGCGTCCGAAGAAGTTGATCCCGGCTATGAGCCACCATCCAATGAGGTGGACTATGCAATGGAGTCCTATGCCGCTTTGGTTGAAGAAGGCTTGGACGTGAACAACAGTGAAGCCGTGGACTACGCCTGTGAGGTGATTCAGCTTGAGGCCGAAGCCATGTTCTTGCACAACAAGGCCCAGAGTCAAGGCCACAGTGGATTTGGTGGAAAGAGCGCTGCCAACTACTGGTACCAGAACAAGGGGAAAGGAAAAGGTTCATCTGGCACCCCTGACCGACGACGCGCTCTTGAAGATCTCAAGAAGAGAACCACCTGCCGTCGCTGTGGACAATCTGGCCACTGGAGCACGGACTACTCATGCCCGAAGCATCCAGGCAGCAAGAAAGGTGGCAAGTCTTCATCATCGGCTATGACTGGAACGTGGCAAGAAAGGCAAGGGCAACAAACCTCGAGTGGTCTACTTTTCCGTGACTGAGTATGACGAGGACCAAGAGGAGCCCTATGACCTTGAAGCGCAGACCTATATGGCGGTCACGAACTATGGCAGTGTTCCTCCGCCTTCGAGCTTGGCTGATGGCACCATCGTGACAACTCCAAATGAGATGTCTGCTGATCAGATGCTTGACATGGCCCTTCAACAAGCACGCATGATGCAGCAGCAGCAGACCCTGGCAATTCAGCAAGAGGCACATCAGCACCCTGTGCCGGATGATGCTGATTGGGAGGCACATGAACTCGCCCTTCAGGACCATGGTG